TCGTCCCGCCTCGCCTTGCCATCGAGACGATCGAAGATCGCTCCGACCGCTTCTTCACCCGAGGCGTGGCTAGTGGCGATGTCAAGGGGTTCCTTGGTGGTACGCGGGCCCTTGCATCCTAGTTTGTGAACTAGGGACTCGCAAGTGGTCCCGGATAGGAAGGCTCCTATGACGTCGGCGTCGGCAACGTTAGGTAGCTCATTGCATTACCGGGAGAAGTGCCGGATGTATCCACGGAGGGTTTCTCCGGCCTTCTATCGATAGTTTTGAGGTCCCACGGGCTTCCAGGGCACTTGTATGTGCCCTAAAAATTTCCCACGAAGATCTCCTTCAGGTCCGCCCAACTCTAGATCCTATTGGATGGCTGGTGTTCCAACCACGTCCATGCCGAATCGGCTAAGAACAGTGGAAGGTTGCGGATAATGAAGTCATCATTATCCACACCACCGGCTTGGCAGGCAAGCCGATAATCTTTGAGCCATAGTCCGGGGTTTGTCTCCCTAGAGTACTTCGGGATGTTGGTTGGTGGCCAGTACCTTAGCGGGAAGGCAGCGTTGAGGATGTGTCGGTCGAAGGCCTGAGGGCCCGGGAAGTCGGGGCTCGGGCTTTGGTCCTCGCTGTTGTCATAGCGTCCGCCACGATGAGAATGATAGCCGCGGCTAGCTCCCTCTCTCGGGTCGCCATAGGTACGTCTACGGGCGTCGAGGGTGTCACGTGTGTCTTGGTTGCGGCCGAGACGCTAGTGCACCGGGACCGCGGTGAGTTGCCTACCGTCTCGCGGTGCCTGGTGGACTGATGCGTCCTTGCCGAGGCGCTCCGAGGGTGTACGATGGCTAGCATCGAGCTCGCGTCATCGAGACAATGAGCTCTCAGCCTGCTCCACCGCCGCACGCTCAAGTAACGTGCGAATCTCATGGTGGGCCCGACGATCCTTGGGCGTCGTGGCCTCTAGAAGGCCATGGAGCAGGGCCGCTGTAGCGGCAATGTTCTGGCTTGCCTAGGTGAAGCGAGGGAGGGCTTCATCATCGGCGATGATCCTCCGGTTTACGTCATGGGCCATGGCGTGTGCGCGCCCACCGTCTCCGTTACGTTTGATTTCCCGATCGAGCTCCGCGCATTCCCGCTCAAGCTGGAGTCGCGCTTTCTCGATCTCTCAGTGTCGGGCTGTTAGCTGCTCCACCCCATGCGAGGCAGGGCTGCTATCTCCCCCTCGGCCTCGTCGCTGAGGTTGTTCGCCGGGGTAGCCTCCTCCTCGGAGACGCTTTCGACGTGTCCCTCGGGGGTACCCATCATGAAGCATTCACGAGAGGGGTGATGGCTCCCCCTGCTGGAGTCAGAGCCAGAGGGCGACCCCGGCTCCTCTACGAGGAGGTCATGGAGAGATTTCGTGACGTGTTCGATCACCCCTACGAACTCGTTGTCCGTGGGAGGTGAGACCATGCGTTGTGCCACAAGGTGCCCAACCCTCTAAGGACTGAACGGAAGCTCCATCGGGACGCTCCATATGGGGTGTTCCAGAGAGAAGGGTTCCCCTTCGGTGAGCCGCGCCATGTCGTTGGCGTCGGAAAAGGTGAGGCGGCGCTGGTCCTCCCTGGATGGCTAGGGTCCCAGGGAGACACCGAGCTGGCGCTCAAGCCTCTCGTAGTTGAGGCCGATGGAGGGGAGAGGTTGGATGGTGGCGTGAGCCAACGCCAACTCTCCTCCCACTGTGATGATGAAGTCTAGGTCCCCGAAGCGCACATGTGCGCCTAGGACCCAGCTGATACCATGGCTAGCCATTTGTGGCCTAATGTTAATGTCGGAACGCGCAAAGGTCCCCTACCTGGTGTGCCAACTGTCGGTGTTTCGAGTAAACACCATCGAGTAAATTTGTATTATTACGCGTTCGGCCCGGATGGTATGCTAAAAGACACAAGGTTTATACTGGTTCGGGCAGAATGTCCCTACATCCAGTTTGTGGCTGCTGCTCATGTTATTAGCACTGAAAGGTTCGTAGTAGGGGGTACAAACGGGTGAGAGAGGGATAGGTCCCAAGTCTCTGATGGAGAGGTCGAGTGGGCACTGAGAGCTCGGTTATTGATCAGCTGTGTGTGTGGAATTGATCCGTCCCCCTAGTGGGGTGTCCTGCCTCTCATTTTATAGACCAAGGGAAGCAGGGATTACAGATGAGAGAAAGAAGAAAAACCAGAGGCCAAGGAGGTCCTCAAAGATGTCGGGTCTTCCTTTTCCTCTGAGCGAATCCCGCTAACACGGCAGACGGTGCCCGGGATAGCATGTCCGCTGATCCTGATAGGGCCGTGCTCTGGCTTTGTTCGGCAAGTGGTCACGTCCCATCCCGCCCCGGCGGGCGGCGCGACGGACCAGGGTGCCAAAACGTGACCCTACGGGGGCAGACGGCGCAGCGACCCCACGCTGTTACTGTAGATGACATGAGTTTTCCTCCTGGACCGTAGTGGTTGTCGTATGCTTCTGTCAGGATTCATGGCCGAGGGCAAATTCCAGCGCCCATAATACTATAAGACAAATATCGGCGCCCACAACACTGTTCAGGCTCTGACATGTCTGGAAGGGCTTAAAGCGCCCGTCTTGTCATATCCTGACGGTACTTTTCTGCAGACGTGCAGGGTATGGTCCTCGGTATTGTGGTTGACTTGAGTGCACTGTCTTGTCCGCGCACGTAGTTATGAAGGAGCAGCGCACAGACATCGGACGAGGCGGAGCTAGCCCCCGGGGCGGGGCCAGCCCTCAGGGGTCGGACGAGGCGGAGCCAACCTTCGGGGGTCGGATGAGACAGAGTTTGCCCCTAGACGTCGGACGAGGCGGAGCCAGCCCTCAGGGGTCGGGCTAAGCGGAGCCAACCCTCAAGGGTCAGGCAAGGCGGAGCCAACCTTCGGGGATCGGATGAGACAGAGTTAACCCTCGGTCGTTGGGCAAGAGGTGTAGCCGCGTTCTTGTCTGTTCAGAAGCATCAACGTTTTGACGGTTATTAGATCTTCCTCTTTGAGTACCCCTGTATTTGGTCCCCGACGAGTATCATACCACTGTATGTCGTGTTGGCATGCATATATGCAAGCATTCTGGTCACAGAATTTTAATTTAGTGTAGAAATTTAGAAGGACAAATAACATACGGTGGCGAGTGGGAGACTAAAACATACATATGGCTCGTCGTTAGTCTGAACATTCACATCGCCTCCATCTTGATTATGTTGTCTGGACATCTGGCACAAGCATCATAATATATCATTCATATATACTCAAGCATAAATTATGTTGTCATACATACCATAACGTACAATTAATTACTACTGATCATGTATAGGTAGTACATCGTATTGGAATGGATATAAGCTTAAAATATAATTGTACCATTGTTTAATCATATTTATACATATCAGTCATACCTATAATGTTATAAAAAACTTTTTCCCCAAAAGACCGGATATAGTGCTTAGGAAGGTATATGATGTTACCTGCTTGAGTAAATTTGGTGGCTACATTGTTTGAGATTGCAAAGACGCTTGTGTGTTGGTAGGATAAACCTGATGATTCTGAAGGGACACCTCAAGTATGGTGGGTCGACGTGAAAACAAATTAAATATGAGAAAATTGTATATTTTCCATTAAAATATACTAGTAGTCAGTGTTTTAATTTAGGAAAAGTATATAGAACGACGGGTGCACCCAAAGGATGTTACTACTGTGACTGTGACAGTGTGAAAAATAACAGAGAAGAACCGATAGTGTGTCTGGGTAATATCAAAATTAAGAAGACGCGTTTTAGTTTTATCCTAAGTCAAACTCTCTGCAATTTTTTTTTAAAAATGTATAGTACCACATACAATATCAAATAAGTACATTATAAAATGCATTTTGGTGTTAATTTCTATAAATTTGATCAAAACTAGAAAAGTCTGAATTGAGACAGACAAAACTTAATGGCCTACATATTATTTTTTTTTTTTACGACTACATATTATTCATTTAGAACCGAGTGAGTATAACTGTTTGTCAATTAACTAATGTGTGCAGCCAAAATTGGGTTGGAGCTGGCTGCTGCAACCACACCTAGCCATTCAGAAGCTAAGTGAACCAACCAGCAGTCCAGCACTCATACATGCATGACTCCACACACTGCGTAGTTGTTTGGCTCCATCCATTTCAAATTATAAGTCGGTTTGGCTCTATGTGTTGTCATCACTCCACACATGGTGGCCCAGCCCATCAGCAAGCGCATGAGAATTTCCGCCACCGGTCCGCGAACAAGTGTTTGTCCGGCCCGGATTGGGTCTGTGTAATGCCTCCTTATGGGCCCGTGTGGAAGGGAAAGTAGAAATAGCTAGCTTGGAGAGATTGAAACTTAAAGCTGTAAAAAAACACTTAGGGTCCGTTTGGATGATGCCATTTTCAAAAATTGTAATATCACAAAACTGTAGTTTTATAAACAAAGAGATACAAAACCGTGGTTTAGAAAAAAGAGGTTATGAGTGGAGTTTCTAAAACTCTAAAAAGACTACAGTTTTGCCAAAACCATAGTTTTAGAGATACAAGATTTGTTGCATCTAAACACCTAGTAGTTTTTAAAAACCAAAGTATTTTGTAAAACTATAGTATTTCTCAATACTTTAAAAATACTTTGCATCCAAACAGGACCTCAACCATCTACTTCTTCCTCAAGAAGACTACCCTCGCTAGCGATCTGCCGCCGAGAACCCGGATCTCTTACCTTGTTTTTATGTTTCCTTTCGGGTTATTACTAATAGCTTTTAGATGTATGGGTGGGACAGGGTTCAGGGGTTTTCTCGATCTGTGTGAGAATATTTTTTTCTTAAGCCGGAATACCCGGGGCTGTCTAGCCACCGCAGATTAAGTTTTTTATGTTATGTCTAGATGCAAAGTAAAATTTACAATATTTTAAAAAAAAACTATAAACGACTTACAATCTGAAAGGAATGGAGTATTAAAATACTGTACTTCCTCTTTATGAGCATTCTAAATGATTCATACCTGCTGGGGCTGAGGATGAGCACCGTGTTGATTAAATTGATTAAGTAAAAGGAAGCCCATGATGGCAAGCATTGCGTCCGTGTTCTTACTGGATATGTGCTGCTCCACCTTGATTAACCGCTTGGACAGGTCCCCGGATTTGTAGTAAAGGCACACGACGTTGGTCTCCTCCTGGCAATCCATGACCAGCTGCAAGGCCTCACCAAGGGTTTTGTCCAGGGCCTCAAGTGCCTTTCTTACTGCCGAGTTGTTCATCAGCTCCCTGTTATCCTGGTGCTGCGACAACGTGTCGCTGAGTATCTCAGCGCGGCTTATTATCTGCTTGCATGTATCCTCATTCTGCTTGCATGTATCCTCATTCTGCTTCACTGTATCAGTCTGCTGCTCTCTTGATCTTGAGAGCAGCTTCGATAATCTTGGTAATGATGCCCACTGTATCGGCCATCCTAGGTACGCAGTACGCAAAGGGTGACAGATCGAGTAGAATCTGCAGATCAAGTTTAATTACAAATTACGAGGTATAGTTAAAAGAATTGATGATTCACGGAAAAACTAATGATCCGATTAACACAGTCAGAGCACTGACCTAGCTTCTTGGATTCTCCTTGTATTCTCCTCCAGAAACCTTCCTCCAAATGAGCGCGCGATTCAAGTATTGGCTGGGAAAGCATGTCTTCTTGAGTTAATGAGCTAATCTACTATGGATCGGAGACAAAGGCGCGCCGGAAATTACGAGGAACTTAAACAGCTGCAAGATAGATTAATTGCCAATCGCAAAAAAAAAAAGATAGATTAATTGCCCAAAATAAATGGCCAACCGTGTTATGTAGGCAAATGGGCCTTTAATAATGTCCAAAGCTCCAATAAGGACGAGCGCTAGACTCGGTCGTCTTTCGTGACTCTTTCCTCAAGGACGAGCGCCACCCAACCCCGGCCCGGTCTGTTTGTCCATCTCATCTTACAAAGTTCCAATCAACTAGCTTATCAAACTAGCAAATATACACATGCGACACACACGTATTTATTGTTTCGATTAATAATATATTGTCCAAATTATATATGAATATGAAATTATGAACTAATTATCTCTTGCTTAGATTGTCGCCATCAACATCAATCTGTGACAATAGAACCATATATTAAGTATAGGATACGTACATGAATAGACAAATAAATCATCTATGACCTGCTAGGTTTGTTCATTTACGTCACTCATGTGTGCCACGGGAAACCCTTTGCAAGCAGTACAATTTGGCATCGTCTAGCGCCTTGTACGTAGCAGATCGAGCCTGGTTTGCATGGCGGCCTTGGGCCTGGACTCGAAACTCGATCGTGCACCCGAGCTTCCAGATGTACCATGGCCGTCCTCAGCGGCGTATGCGGGAGCACAGGTCCTGGCGGCCGGGCGTCAGTTGAAACCAAATACAACAAAAGCCAGCACAATATTCCAAGGAGTATCGTCACACAAAAAAACTCCAGCTAAGCAAAGAGCACATAAGACAGGAAAACGAAGAAAGATGGCAACCAACAAGGCAAATATCAGCTTCAAAATCTTTTAAGGACACGTATAGCATACGTGACGGACGAGGACTCATGAACCCATCCGAATCTTTTCTTTATGTATTGTGCTAGGAATCTTACACAAATATGCTCGTGCGTTGCAACGGGATGTAAAATTATTGTGCAGTCATCTTGACGACTTGTGGCTTAAAAATTTATTTAGCAACTATGTCATATATTTCAATTTATACTTTGTACATGCATGTAACTCTTATTAAAATGGGAGGTTTAGAGATTTATCAATGCTCACGTCTCCTTGCTTTTCATGTATCCTTTACCGGTGACTCGGCGAGTAGCCTAGAAAAGCAAGCAAGGCTTGCTCCTGTTCTCTCCGATGACCAAGCATTGGGAGCAAAAGCAAGCTTGATCTAGTCCCTTCTCTCGGCAACCAAACCATTATCAACAGCATTGTAAATCCTCTTCGCTCCTCCCCGTCGGCTGGACGCTTGTCTCCTCCATGCCACGCGTCCTGGTTTCAGAAAGCTGTATGAGCGACGAAGAGCAGTTTTGAAGTGATGCCAGGAGTTGGAGTTCGGTTTCGACATGAGAGAAAAGGCTAATTGATTTGGCGCATAGGGTGATACTTGTACGGACGAAGGAGGACGATTTTGGAAGTTACATCACGGTTTCCATGGGGCACACGCGGTTTCGGGGCGAACAAACCAAGAGACGTGGAACATATGGACTCCGGTAGACGTATTTAAGATTGTACAGGAGTCTTACATCTTACATGTAAGATCACGGAAGACGGAGGACTCATATAGCACGACATATCGATCGAACGGTTGTTATAGAGGAAGAGTAATATCACGAATGATGGAAGGCTCATATAGCACGGCGCATAGATCAAACGGTTATTATAGAGGGATAACCTCCACAAATTATTCACTCTTTTATAGTGTGAAAAAAATCTTTCCTAAAAAAATATATTATCTTATCACAATAGTGTAATTATTAATAATACATGTTGACAACATTTTGTAGGTTCGCGAACTGATTATATATCAGATGGCTGAATTACTTGTGGTGGAACTACCCACCCGGGTTTAAGTTCTCGACTTGGCTTCTTGATTTTATTCCATGATTTAACGGCACTATGCTTTCAGTGGTAGGCAACATCCACGTCGACAGTGAGGCGCCAGTGATAACTTAGGCCCAGAGCCTCATACTCACAAAGGGATGGGTGGGGATGAAGCTAAAAATGTAGCTTATCCAGCTTCACCTGATATATGTGGAGCCCAGCATGCAAAAAAGACTAGTTTTGCCCCCACACACAAAGAGAGTGCACACGCTCAGGGAGGGAGCACACGTGGCTCGCCGGGGCGCAGCTCGCCGGGGGCTCGGGGCATGTGCGAGCACAGCCGGTGGGGCACGGGCAGCCGCGACCACCGACACGCACGAGCACGACCGTCGAGCAGTCTTGGCATTGAAGAACAGTCATTGAGCGGCTGCCGAGGTACACACGACCTGGAAGACGAATGGGAGAACGAGCAGGGCAGGGTCCGTCGAGCGGGCCGTGGCAAGGAAGGCGAGCACCAGGGGCAACGACGAGAGGCGAGGGAAGCCGGGGCGGAGCCACGAGGACGCAGTGCGCGCACACCGTGGCCACAGAGGACAGCCAGGGAAACCATGGGGATGTTGTCCCGTAGGAGCTCCATGTGTTGGCTCTCGATCGCGTGGAGCTCCATGCGCGGCCACCGAGCGCGAGCAGGAGCTGCTACCGGGGCCACGCTTGGCCGTCGGGCGTGGACCGAGTGTGGCTGTCGAGCCACGCACAACCGTTGGGCACGAGCGGTGCGGCCGCCAGGCGCGTGTAGGCACGGCTACCGGCGGCTTGCATGCGAGGGACTCCATCGTTGCTGTTTGGGGCATGGGGTTGGGCCCTGGGATGTGGGCGCCGGGACGGGGATGTGGCAACCCGGGGTCTTGGGCGTTGGTCGTCAAGCTTTTCTTTTTGCCGTGGCCGTTGGAAGATGGCAAATAGAGAAAGAAAAGAGAAAGTTTAAGGGTATTATGGTCATTTATTCTTTTTCCTCTCTAGAGAAGTTGTTTTGTCAAACGGGGTCAAGAAAACAGCTCAACTTCACCAGTAGAGTTGCTCATTGAGCCAAAAAAAAAAAAAAAACAACTTCACCAATGAAGCTAAGTTGTGCCAAACAGGACCTTACTTAATGCGGGTTAGTTCCATCAACCGCGGTTGTTAGTCTTATATACTCGCTCCGCTGACAAACATTCCTATCAATAAGACAATTGCTAGTCACAGTATGATCTCTTGTTAATTTATATGGGCAAAGTCAAATTTTTCGGCCTCCAACTTATTACACAACAGTTCGATTTTCAATCTTAAACTATGAAACCAGGTACGGACACCCTCAATATAAGTAGGTTTACATAACTAATGCCAACGAAGGCACTTGAAGGAAGCCATGTGTTATGAACAAGGAGCCGACTAGAGGAGGGGTGAATAGTCGTTTCTAAACTTAATCGCTATGGCTAACCGAAACAATTATGGAATTAAACTATTCGGTCTAGCCTTGACTACACCCCTCTGTCAATGTTCACAAGCACCTTACAAAGGGTCCTAATCAAGTTATACACTAAAGTGTCGAGCTAGTGGGAGCTTACCTAACAATTCTAGTTAGCAAGGTCACATAAATCTATGCAACTAGTCTTTTTTTAGAATATACCTATGCAACTAGTCAAATAAGCAGTTAAGCACACCGGGAGCTCCTATACATACTAGTGATCACAAGCACAAAGCAAATTACACTACTACTAATCACTAGTTACACTAAACACACAACTAGAGATTGGTTTGGTGGTGCTCTCTCCACACGTTAGCCTATCCACTGGCAATCCAACCAGCGCACCCACCGGTCCAACGGTGGGGCAAACTCCCCAGTTCCAGTAAGGTCTGGGCCACCACCAGACTAAGCGCTTGGCCCTTCTGAACACTCAACCTTCTCCTACGTGGCCCATCTCCCTAGCCGGTCCAACCGTGCCCACAGGCGGTTAGACCACCAAGGCCACCAGAGATGCCACACAGCCCAAACTGCTCCACACTGAAAGCCCAAGTTTAGTTTTGGATAATTGATGATACCTAGTGTACTAACCCTTGTCATCTAGTGTTGTGATTTAGATAGGGTTGTACACACCAAGTGATGGAGCAAGTGAAAGGTCCATGGAGATGAAGATGGACATGAGATGTTGATGATCAAGCTCCAACTTGGAAAAGTAGAAAGAGAAAAACAAAAACCAAGTGTTGGTCAAGGCAAAGGTATCAAATAGATTTTTGTTTTGGCACTCAAGACACCATAGAGGGTGTGAGTGTGTTTAGGATTGATAGCCGTACTTTAAAGAGGAGAAATCTTTGGCTAAGTGGTTATCGAGTGCCACTAGGTGACATGATTCTTGCATATGCATTAGGGACCTAGTGTGCTAACAATTAACCCTTGGAAAAAGCTTGGAAAAATGCTAACACACGTGCACACAAGTTACACACTTTGTGGTTAGCAACTTAGAAGCAAGGGTGAAGTGTTTGAGGAGATAGAAAAAGAAAAGGAGGCGAAGGGTGCTGACCGGACGCTGGTCTCGGCATGACTAGACGCGTCCGGTACTAAACCCTAGGTCTCGGTCAGCCTCTGTGGCTTGACCGGACGCAGGGACTGGACTCGGGCTTGAGTCCGGTCACTCGGTCCAGAGAGGGCATGGCTTGGCTCGTCGATCAAACGATGGAGGCGAGGCATGACCGGACACGCAGGGGGTGCGTCAGGTCGCTGCTGACGTACACTAATGTAGGCATAGTGCATGAGCATAGAGAGGACCAGATGCATTGGTGAGTCTGGTCATGTCTGACAGGACGTGTCCAATGCCCAAAACCCTCTCTGGTGCCTTTTTGTACTCGATCGGACGCCACGTTGTGGTGAGTCCGGTCATTTCGAGGAGCGAGTCTGGTCATAACCTAACTACGCGAGTGATCAACTAGTGACCATTGGAGATGAATGAGCGAGGCTCAAAGGGGCACCACATGGACGCCATCCGTGGACCAAACACTGGTGACCGGACGCTGGGGTGCTCAAGTGCAAAATCAACAACAAGTGGCTAGTTCATCATCTCAACCAAATGACCAACCAAGTGCAAGCAATCAAGTTCAAGTGCTCCAACCAACAAATGTTGCAAGAGATCATCCATTGGACTCTATAATTGGAGATATTTCTATAGATGTGCAAACTAGATCAAGATTGACATCATTTTGTGAGCATTTCTTATTTGTGTCATCCATTGAACCAAAGAAGATAGATGAAGTTTTGAAGGATGTTGATTGGGTCAATGCCATGCATGAAGAACTAAACAACTTCACAAGAAATCAAGTATGGGAGTTAGTTGAGAGACCTAGGGATCATAATGTGATTGGAACCAAGTTGGTCTTTAGGAACAAGCAAGATCAAGATGTGATAGTTGTAAGGAACAAAGCAAGATTGGTAGCATAAGACTATACACAAGTTAAAGGTCTTGACTTTGGTGAAACATATGCCCCGGTTGCAAGATTAGAAGCAATTAGGATCTTGTTAGCCTATTCTTGTGCCCACAACATCAAGATCTATCAAATAGATGTGAAGAGTGCATTCTTGAATGGATACATCAATGAAGAAGTCTATGTTGAGCAACCACCCGGTTTTGAAGATGACAAGAAGCCCAACCCTGTTTACAAGTTGAAGAAGGCATTGTATGGCTTGAAGCAGGTACCTAGAGCATGGTATGAGAGGTTGAGGGATTTCCTACTCTCTAAAGGATTCACGATGGGCAAAGTTGACACCACTCTCTTCACCAAGAAAATAGGCAATGGCTTGTTTGTGATGCAAATATATGTTGATGACATTATCTTTGAATCAACCAATCAAGATTTTTGTGAAGAATTTAGAAATATGATGGCAAATGAATTTGAAATGTCCATGATTGGAGAGCATAGTTGCTTCCCTGGTCTTCAAATTTGTGAGTCAAAGCAAGTATATCAAAGACATGCTCAAAAAGTTTGGAATGGATGATGCAAAGGCTATTAGTACACCTATGGGGACTAATGGAAACTTAGATAGTGATGCCAGTGGCAATATGGTGGATCTAAAGATGATCAGTCTATGATTGGAAGCCTACTCTATGTGACCGCATCAAAGCCGGATGTGATGTTTAGTGTATGCATGTGTGCAAGATTTCAATCCTCGCCTAGAGAAAGTCACTTGAAGGCAACAAAGAGAATATTGAGGTACTTGAAGCATATACAAAATGTTGGATTGTGGTATCCCAAAGGAGCTAGATTTGATTTGATTGGATATTTGGACTCCGATTATGCGGGATGCAAGGTTGAGAGGAAGAGTGTTGACACTAGATATGGCAAACAGATAAATCTGCAAGCGTGCGGATGTCAATGTAGCTTTCACCCGGGAGTATTCCAAGGTATCGAATTTCCACGGGGAACACGAAGTGAACAAGAGTAAGAACTAAGTTTATCCAAGGATATAACAAGGATAAAGATAACGGGTAGAGAGGATATCTATGGTTTCTATGAACTATGGCAAGACTTAAGAAAACTATATCACGGTTGTTTACTTCGGGGCGTACCTACCCTAACCTCACCCAGAGGGTTGATTAGGCACAACAGCACCACGATCCCTATGATTTAATAACTAGACCTACTATGGTGAAATACAGAGGATGGACAGGGCTGTCACCACCTGCCACCTACCACAATCTATCCGGAGGCCTAGCCATAAACACAGGTAAGTTATAGCCTGAGCACCATGTTCAATCTATAAACTTACTACTCTAATCCTGCGTATAGTGGAACAAGATCAGAGCACTCTAACCAAGCGGGAAAACCAGTAAACAATAATATAAACAATACTTAAGTAATGCAACAGAGCAAAGTTACCACAGAAGATGTCAGACTTCACTCGAAGAAGAGTTTCATCCACCGAAGCACAAGTGGAGAGGATGCCGATAGCCCCGACTCCTCCCCAAGCTTCTCCTCACTCTCTCCCTATCTTCTACTTCTAAGTAGTAGAGCTACAGAGCTTTGCCTAGCTACTACTCTCACTTGGAGTGAGATGGAATGAGATGGTGTATTCACAAATGAGGGAGAGAGGTCCTATTTATAGCTTGAGGTGGAGTAGGGGCTACTCCAGTTCCATGTCAGCGATCCACATGATCATCCTCCTCGACCCTTGGATGCAACCGACCTTGAACCACCTTAAATCGATGCACCACATTGCTCCATTTGTGCTAGTGTGCATGCTGTCCAAAGATAAGTCGATTTGGTGGAAGTGGACCGTCGGGCGTCGGCCTTGGGCGTTGGCCAACGTTGGATTTCACCAATTATTGACCGTAGGGCCTTGGTTGGCTTCCAAAGGTGGTTGTAGGAGTGGCATGTGTGATTCTTTGGTCAGGAAGGTGGTAAGTAAGTCTGTGGAGGCCTCCAAGTGGATGACAGTGGACCTAGGGATCCAAGGGAGCTCCACCTCCACCTTTGGATCAAACCGGCTCAAACCAACGGTGGATGGGCACTCCTGGGGGTGCCACCTGGCTCTCCCATGAATCAGTGACGTGGAAGGGCTAGGTGGGGCATTTGGCCAACACCATGTGGCATCGGGCGACGCCACTTGGTGGCCCTTGGCCGTCCTAGCCACTTGGATTG